GTATAAGGAATCTGTGGAGATACCTAGTTTATTGAATTTTTTTTATTTTACGATTCAGAGCAGATTTTTGGTAACTGGGGGTCTTGTTTAAAAAAACAAATGATTTCTACAAAGAATTCTACTTTTGACTAATATAAACATTAAGTAGTACAAAAATTAATTTCTCAAACTTTCATAAAATTAATCAAGTAGGTGTGGGTGCGGGCTAATGTGAAAAATATTTTTACCAAGATTTTCTAAAAAATATTTCTAAAATTTCATTCATTTGTAAATAAGTCCTGCAAGTTTCATTAAAATCCAACAATTATTTGATTTTTGCAAGAATTTCCAAATCAATGTTTTTCACTGCAAAAAAGAAGCTAAAATTCTGTATTCTAATCTTTGGTTTACTACTGATACAAGAAAAAAAAATTAACCAAAATTTCAAACATACTAAAAAGGATCAAAAAATATAATTTAATAATCAAAAAATCATTTGGTCTTTCCTCTTAATAATGACAAAGATTTTGATGATAAAACTTTATTTTTTTTAGGCGTGTGGCATTTTTTTCATTATGGTATGCTCGTTTCTTAGCAAATCTGTGGAGGTACCTCCATTTTATATAAAGATTAAATAAAGATTTAAATTCTAGTAAAATAAATGCTGACTAGCATACAAAAGAAAAAAAAATACTTTTATATGCTGAAGTGAAGTCAGTTTTTAAAGCAAAAGCTTCATAGAAGAGTTTTCTTTCAGTTTGTCAGTGAAATCTGAAAGAAAGAAGTCTCCTCTCGAAAATGAAATAAATGTGACAATTCCAATAGCCAAGAATCTTCTTTTTTTCTTTTGTTTTTTATTACACTTTGATTTTATGGCATTGTATCTCTCCACCCACCCTTTATATCTTTATCCTTTCTTTCTCTATCAGCTGATTCTTTTTCTCACTTCCAGTTGAACACAAGAAACCATAGAATTTGGGTTTTATTAAAAAAAGTAAAATGTAAAGTTAAAGGAACAAATGTAGACTTCAAAAAAAGAAAATTTATTTACCTGCTTTGTTGTCAACTAGTTTATAAGTTTTCTACTGTATTTTAATTTTTAGTTTTAATTCTTTTTTACAAAATATTTTTTATTTTCTTAACTCTGATACAGCAACTGCAAAAAAAAATGTAACAAATTTCTATTAAAATTTTAGTTTTTTTTATTAAAAATTATTATGATTTAAAGGAATGTTTTACTTATTGGAAAATATTAAATTTATTAATCTATTAGCTTGAAATTAAAAAAAAAAACTAAAAACTTTGAGAAAGTTTTTTCATTTTTAAAAATTCATTTTAATTTAAACCTTAGGTATCACGATTCTGTGGAGGTACCTAGTTTTATGTTATTATTTTTTACTTATTTAGGTTTAACAAACGTTTCTTTAAGAAAGTATATCAGCTGTAATAACAAAATTACCAGTTTTTTGTATTATTTTTCATATTTAGGATTCCAAAACATTTTTAATGAATCTTAATTCAAAAATAAATAACATATCAAAGCAATTCTAATTCAAAAGTAAATGAATGAATACTGTAATTACAAGGTAATCTTTCATAAAAAAAGGCAGTATTTATTCATAAGATAATCATTATTAATTTATATATCTAATGATAAAAATATTATTAGATAATTTAATTATTATTAAAATTATAAAAAATTAATAACTATAGAAAATTTAATATAATTTTTTTATTTAATGTATTTAGCTTGTGGTTGGCTTTTGTTGGTTTTTCAACTTTTGATAGCAATTTTTTTTTGTAACGTCCAAACCAAAAAAAAAAAAGACAAAAATGATGTGGCCTCTATTCTGAAATTCCACCATAATATTGTAAGTACTATTTTCACCAAGTGGGTAGGTGGAGCTTGTTTTGTCAAGGTTCCTAGTTGTATCTTTTTGAGACAAAGTTTCAAATTAAAACGCCAGGCAGATGGCTGATGGGGTACAGAAAACTAATGTCTCTGGTTAAATCATTGTTAAAAGCAAAAAATTCATGAACTTGAATGAAATAAAAGACCCCAGAATGAAGTCAAAATGTGTAAAAAAATTTTTTCATCCTTTTATAATTGGGTGTGCTTAGTTTAATATGTAATGTATATAAATGTAAGTAGAAAAAAAAAAACAAGACAGTGAGAGTCACAAAGCACTGACTGGGGTGCCCAATCAGTCGGTGGGTCTCTGGGACAGTATGTGCCAGCTCTGATTAAGGACTAAAGCTAAATAGGAAAAAAAACAATTCTTAATTAACAAGCAAATTAATGTTTAATTTTTCAATTTTTTTTTTAATCATTTCACCCCAAACAAGTCAATAAAGCCACTAAGATGCAAGAGGTTACTGAGTGTGAGAGAATATGAGGAAAAAATACTATTAGTATAATAAATTTGCAATGAGACATCTGGTTGTGGAAAAAATGTTCTCAATTTACAAACATTTGTCAATAATAAGTGTTAAAATATGTAATTTTAATTGTTTATCTATCATTGACAGAGCAGATATATCGTACAAGTTAGCTATTAAAAGGATTCTGTATTACTAAAAGGGTATTTTATTTGAATAAACTAGTCAAATCATATATGACACCATTGAAGATGTAAAAATTATTTTGTAGAATGAGAACAACTGTATGTTGTACTAATTCCATCTCTGTTTTTTTCTTTAAGAATTTTGAATTAATGAATTATCTTCTCTAGCTAAAAATTTTGAATTAGTAAATTATCTTCTCTTGCCAAAAATTTTGAATTACTGAATTATCTTCTCTTCCTAAAAATTTTGAATTACGGTTTATTACTAGTCTATATTGTATTGTGGCATTTGAATTTAAAAATTAAATCAATGTAAATCTTTGAGAAAATTCAAAGAATGGTTTGTAATATAATCCTGACTTGGAATCTTGGCTTTAATCGCATTCTCACTGATGTGACATGGCTTCCCGTTGTCTTTTAAACAAATATTTTGATGGCAATTGTTCAGATGAACTTTCCAGCATGGTACTTCAACTACATAAATTTAAGTGTGTTATTAGATTGGCAACTAAGTCTTACCATTTTATTGTTGCATTAGCTAGATTCAACCACATGTTCTATTCTAATGATTTCTTTTCTCGCCTGTGGAACTCTATTCTGGTTTCTTGCTTCCCTGTCACCTACAATCTTCAAAAATGTAAATGCAATGCTAATCACCATCTTATGTTTTTTTATTGTCTTTTCTTTTCATTACAGTTTTCTCATTCTCTTTCACTCCTAGTAACCTCTTGTGTCTCAGTAGCATCATTACCTTGCTTGGGGTAAAATGATCTGAACAAAAAAAAATTCTGAATATTTATTCCTCTTTAAAATACAGAAATTTGGTGCAAGGTTAGTAAAAAAGTGCTACTGAGGAGGTTGAGCATGCACCAATAAAACAATGAAACTACTCTCATGCAACTTATATATATGGGCAATATTCCTTTCATCTGTTTCATTCATCCATTGACTACCAGTCTAATTCTTCATAACCTGAAAAGGGTTGGTAAGCCATAGAAAATGAATCAAGATGCTGGTAAAGTGGGTCACCAGCAGCTATGTTCTGGTAGAGGGTCATCCTGAGCTTTGTGAAATTGATGGTCTTGTGACAGGGCTACTGGCACTTGTGGAAAACAGTGTTTTCTTTTGGGGAGTCTATGATGGGCACCGGTGGCACAGCTGAAGGAGCTAGTCCCAAACTTAGGAAAGATGACTGCAGAGCCATTTATTCATTGACATACCCAATCTGGCCTGCACCTTTGTCCAGTTCTTAAGTTGGAGTTTGGGGGCAAATCACATCCCTGTGATGTGGATGTGTCCATTTGTCCAACTGAATGTTCCTGGCAGAGCCTTTCCTCTCTGACTCCACAGATTTGGATCTATTTATCCCAGAACCCATCACTTGCTTATAGCACTCAGTTTCTGAACTTATCTATGTCTTGGAGGCTGGATACACAGATGGTTAGACCGTTTGCATATGAAGACTTTTTGGCTCTAATTCCCCAATTCTGTAAACCAATCCCCTAGATTAGAGGAAATGCTGGCCCCACCTTCAATTTAAATAGGAAGAGTTCCAGCCTGATACTATAAAGCAGAGTTACAGAGGGTAACCCTGCCTAATAGACCTTGTTATTTCAAATGGTTTGGATGTCTGGACAACAGTACTAGGTTAACAGTATAGCAGTCTGGTCCAACATCAGAAGCTTTCCTTGAAAATGGAACTGGAAGCAATCAATAAAAAGCGTCTGGAATAATCTAACAATAAAAAGGTGCAATATCCATCAGGATAATGTGAAACCACATGTTTCTTTGATGACCAGGTAAAATTGTTGCATATTAGCTGAGAAATTTTTACATATCTACTGTATTCACCAGAATATTTCAGCTTTAGATAATCATTTCTAGTTTTTACTAAATTTCATCTTGTATATGTTGTGTCCCTTCAGGAGGTTGATTATCATGGATCTTCATAACATCCTATTCTTTGTAGCTCTCAATAAATTTTGTCTTTTTACCATCTCTCCCAAACCCTACTCTTACATCCATTCACTCAAGCTTGCTAGGTAAGTTATGCATTGTTTTTCCCTCTTGACTTTAATCTATCCTGTGAATACAAAATTTTCTAAGCTCTCTTAGAAATTTCATTAATTAATGAAAAAAAAAAAATTCCTTAAAAGACTACAAAGGTTACCTCAAGTGGTTGCTCATTAAGAAAATTAAAAAGTTCTGGGACAATGGAATTGGCAGAGAAAATGGAACAAAACCATAAGTATGCTGTTTAATAAAGTTAATGACAAGAATAAAAACATTGTCTTTTATTTTTACTTACTAAACTTAACAAATTTTTTTTGCCAACTCAGTACATAATATCATTAATATGACCTGATATTAAAATTGTGCTGACCAAGCCAGATACACATTCGAAAAAATAAAATTGCCAGATTCTCAATATGTGTTTCAATTAACTAAAGGCTTACAGCCACATCACATTAAAACATTGGTTCCCATATGATCACTGAAGTTAAGCAATATTAAGCCTGCTCAGTACCTAGATGGGTGACTTCTTTGGAATGCCAAGTGCTGTAAGTTTGGGTGTGCAGGTGGTGTAATGGATAATGACTTGAAATTGTTAAAGGGAGAGCCAAGTTCCAATTCCTGTTGGGTTTGTTATATTCACTTATTTGCAAATACACATTGGGAAAAGTATGAATCCACCTATTCTCCTCCTCATCTATGGGTTAATTAGTAAAACTTGTATCACTAAGCCATTATTATCTTAAAAAATAATTTTTACAATCTAAGAATATTTCCTGGTTTTAAGTATCCTGCAATGTGTTGATAAGCCGTAAAAGATGAATCAACTAACCAACAGTTTATTCAAAATTAAACATGTAGGTAAAATAGCTAGGTTACAGTAAATGATGACATATACAGATCAGTATATGCATGAGTTCCAAAATAAGGAGTGTATCACTGGAATGAACATTAATATATCACAAGATATCAAAGACAATATTTTATCAGAATATCATCTAGCCTCTCAGGTAACCAAGTCAAAATCAGCATCATCCTTTAAAGTGTTGCAATTTTATTTTCCATCAGCATATAAAGATTCAGTCTTGAGTAATAGGATCACTGCTTTATTAATTATCACTTTGGCACTGGAGATCTTTATTTCAGGCACTACCTTTCTATTACATTAAGAAGAAGAGTAACAACCTTTTCTGATTTTCATGGCTATTACTTGTGTGCTTTAAGTCATTTATTTATGAGATATTTTTATGGATGTTTCAGCAGATTAAGTTAATTTTAATAAGGGCTTATATAGTTTATTTATATTCAACATTTGAAGCATTGACTACATGTTCTGAATTTCCTGTCTGCAGAGCACAGCTGTGCTATGGGAAGATGTAAACAATCTCATATATGATTTTATCTGTGTTGTCAAAAAATGATTGAAATAGTGAAGTAATTTTGCAATTGTATTGATTATATTTTCTGCATGAGTATGACTTTATCTGCATAATTAGCTCTAACACCACATGAAAGAAAGAATACTCTTCAAATCATTAAAAATAAAAAATATCTGATCTCTACTTGCTAATGAAATATTCCCTTGTTAGGGAGACACAACCAGTGTGTTTACTGGCATCAAGTAAGAGAAATCTAGGATCTTGAATTACAACTATGTTATATCTGTGAGGACATTCACTTTGGGTAATGAAGAATCTCAAGAATTTATACTCATGTTTTTTGTAATTTTACTTAGTGAAGTATAAAAATTATGAGTTTACTAAAGCATAAAGCATAAAAAGGAGGAATTTTATTTTTAATGTTTTTAATCAATTTCACTCCAAGCAAGGTGATAATGCCACTTGGATGCAGGGGGTTACAGGTGTGGATATTAACAAGGTTGAGGCTTTTGCGTATTTTTTAGGTGAAGGTGTGTGTTCAATATATAAACAAAGAAGATAGAAGAAGCATACACAAAAACTTGAGTTTCTACTGCGGATGTTTATTTCTTTTTATGTTGACTGTATTAAAACAAAGTTAAATGTTTCTTGAGTATGTTCATTTTCCTTTTTGGTTCAGAAATTATTTATGGGATGTAAGAATAATAATGGGTAAAGATGGTCAAGCTCAAGTCAGACTCACTCTGAGTTGGGATGGCTGAATTTCTACTTCATAGAATAGGGCTGCTGAAAACATGTCCGAATGATCTTTTTGGAAAGTGGAAATAGAAAGTGTGCTTTCTGGAAGTGGGATCATAAAATCACACATGTGACCAGAAACCCTTTCTGGTTTATTTATAACTTGCATAATGGGAAAATGAAATCATTTTTTTAACCTTAATTATTATTTTATTTATTGGTTTAATTTGATTTTCCCACACAGAAAGTGAAAGAGAATGAGAAGACTTTATTGAAGAGAAGTCAAGAAAAGGACAATAAAGAAACAGGATTCAGGAAAAGAGAAGATGTCAATTGATGGCATTTAAATTTTTGAAGATTGTAGATGGCAGGGAAGCAAGAAATCATAAGGGAGTTCCACAGGTGATATGTGTGAGAAAAAAACTATAGAAGAGATGTTTGCATCTAGCAAGTTCAACAGTAAAACAGTGAGACCTAGTTGCCAGTATAGTAGGACACTTAATTTCATTTACTTGAGGCACTTAGGAACATATTTATAGAAAAGATAAGATTTTTATAAAATAACAGATTTTAAGATTATTACACTGTGTAACATGATTTTTGTCCTTGGGTAGCAACTATTATTTTCTATTTGCTTACACCTGGAAATTATAAAAGATAGCTTATATTTCCTTCAAACTTTGCTTTTGTGATCAGAATAATGATATTTCTGCAATTTACTTATTTCCATGAGGAAAATTGGTGAATGTGAACATTCTCATTCACACAAAGTAGGAACAAAACAACATATGATTCAAAAGTAGCATTTATTTATTCTAGGATTAAATAAGAGACCACAAAAAAAGAGATGGATACATGTTCCCATTATAAAGCAGCAAAGCTTTGAGGCTCCTGGATGAGAGGTGCCACTAGCTGGGGTTACAGGTGATTCCAGTTTCCTTGAACTGACTAGTCACATTGTGGCAGAAGTAGATTCCATCTTGATAGGTGAAAAAGCTTAAAAAACTGGTGATGCTTTCCGTGACCTGTGAATTGTGCACTTTTGTCTAGCAAATTCCACTGCATGAGTTTCAACATCAAAAACTCAGCATTGAACTTTGTGAGACCAAGATCTTTGATCAAGTTGTTGAGGTCTTTTTGGTTGGGGTAGTATGGGTTCCTCTCTTCAGCTGTACATCTTGATTCTGGATCAATGACTTTATCCTCCTCTTAATTGCTGTTCTCTTCTAAAGACATCAGCTCTCACTTTGGAGGAGTGGGTGTGGAGCTTAGGGCAGTGAGGCACTGGAACAATGGATAACAGAAGGTCTGGATATATGATAGCAGGCACATTCTCGCCAGCTCAATGTTTAGAAGGGTCCACTATGCAGAAAAAACTATTGCTTGAGTGGTGAGTTGGTTCCCTCCAAATTCATGAGATTGAAAATTTCATGGTTCTATTTTTCCCTGTGTAAAGATCACAAAAGTAAAGTTTGAAGGGAATAATAGTCATTTCCTTTGCTCTCTAGAGAATAACAATTAAGAAATACAACTTACTGACCAAAGACAAAAAAAATCAAAATTTTGTTACACAGTAGTATTTTTTTAATCATTTTACCCCAAGCAAAGTAATAATACCACTAGGATGCAAAGGGTTACTGAGAGTAAAAGAGAATGAGAAGACTGTAGTGAAGAGAAAGTACAATAAAAGAACAGGATTCAAGAAGACAGAAGATGGTGGCTGATATTGCATTCCAACTTTTGAAGATTGTAGGTAGCAGGGAAGCAAGAAATTGAAAGGAGTTCCACTGATGAGGGTTGAGTAGAAAGAAGCTATTAGAATAGAACCAACAGTTACATCTAGGTAATTTAACAGTAAAACGGTGAGACCTAGTTGCCAATCTAGTAGCATGCTTAAATTCATGAATTCAAGGCACCATGAAAATATTTGAAGAAAAGACAGAGGAAAACCATGTCACATTGGTGAGAAAGTGACTGAGATTGAGTTGCCAGATTAGGATCAATTGCCGTATTTGATGGCATAAAAGGCGCACTTTTTTTTGCTAAAACTATCTGTGTAGGTTTAAAATTCATGATAGCTGAAAATTAACTACCTGGCAATTCCTATTAGCTGAGACTGAAACATGAAGGAGCAATGGATGGCAATGCCTGATCACAACCTTACACTTATAGGAAGAATAAAAAGACCCAGTATTGCACAAGTCTGCAAATGGGTGAAGAAAGCTTGGGATAATATTAGACCAGAAATTATTGTGAAATCTTTAAAAAAGTTTGGCACTAGCAATGCCCTCAATGGAACGTAAAGATGACTCATTATTTAACAGCAATGATAGTAGTATTGAAAATGAGTATCAGGGTTTTGATAACAAAGACGATGAATTTTATGGATTTGAAGATGAATAAAATTTTAATGGTAACTATACTGTTTTGCTCAATTGTAATAATTGCTTGATTCTTATTTTGTTTTCTTACCTTTGGATATAATAACATTTTTATAAGCTTGTGTCCTTTTTTCCTATTATTTTTGTTTAATTGTAACCACGGCATCTTTAACCAAAATAATACCTCATAAATATAGCCCAGGCTGTATCATTTACTAATAATTTTACTAATTGCTAATTTTTTATTGATTTTCCCTGCTAAATTTGGGGCATGCCTTATACACCCATGCATTTTATATGCTGTCAAATACAGTACATTAGATGCCAATTGTTGAATTTTGTCATGATTTCAAGATATATAGTAAGAGCAGCAGACCAGATATAGCAATGGTATTCAATGCACAGATGAATGGTAGATTTATAAATGTGAAAAAGGAATTCTGATGAGAAAAAATTATCTGCCATGACACAGTGAACCAACTTTCCTAGCAGTACACATAGCAATTGATTCAATATTGTCACTCCACTTCATGTCAGTGGAAAATGTGTGTCCAAGAAAGTGTAGAGTGTTGCTCTCCCAGAGTTTAGTATCAGCCATGCTGATAACAGGCAGAAAAGTTTTGTTGTGGGTTGTACTGATGTGTCAGCCTTGTCTCAATGTACTTTTTTTATATATTAAAAAGACATTATCAGCCCAACAACAGAAATATATATTTTACTAACAAAACATATACAAGATACAACACAATAAGCATAAACAAAAACAATAAAAGACTTTTGTATACATTTCAGAGAACATTGTATATTTTAAAGAATGTATAGTTATACAGAGATAAAAAATTTTTTTGCTTATCTGGTAGGGAGACACATAGTGTGTAAGAACACTGTCCCCTGGACATCTGCTTCATTTGCCTGTCAAAGGTGAAAAGAGAGAAAATTTTTCCTATTTAACTACATTTCCATAATCTCACTTTCTTTATTGTTAATTATCAGTCTTATCTATATTTTAAAGTAATTTTACTTAACATTTAATTTTTCTTTTATTATTAATTAT